AAAAACACGTAGGCACAGATAGAAACAAGTCTCTGTGAATGCAACCCAGCAGAAACGGAGTCACTCTGCCCAGTTTGACAGGCACTTGCCAATAGGTTTTGGTTTAGTCTGTTCAGGCTGCTCTAACAGAATATCATAAACTGGGTGTCTTATAAACAACAGAAATTTATTTTTCATAGTTCTGGAGGTTGGGAAGCCCAAGATCAAGATGCTGACAGATTCGGTGTCTGGTGAATGCTCACTTCCTGATTCTTACACAGAGGTCTTCTTGCAGTGTCCTCACATGGCAGAAGAGAACTCTGGTCTCTTCAGCTCCTTGTATGGGCACTAATCCCATTCATGAGGGCTCTACCCTCATGACCCAATCACATCCCAAAGGCCTCACCTCTAAATACCATCACACTGGGGGTTAGGATATCAACATCTGAATTGGGAAGAGGGGGAACACAAACATTCAGTCCATAAGTTTGTTTTGTTTACTCTGTGAAGGTCTCTTTGCCCCTAATATTTTATTTTCTCATTATCATATTCTGCTTCACAGCAAATAGTTTGCATAGTCAAAGAAGGAATTACTTTGATGATTAAAGGCTGTTTGAAAATGCAGATTTTAAGTAGGTAAACATCAGGTAGATCTGGGTGGGCCATATTCCAAGTCTGGCAAAATCCACTATTAGACAAATTGTAGAAGAGGCAGAGAAGAAAAAGACATTAGGTAATAAACTTCTAATTGCATATTAATTACATGTTGATCATATGTAATATTTACTATGCCTGGAAAGCATCTCCAAATGACTTATTCTGCAATGACTGAATAATAGTGATGTGGTTAGTGCTTTCATTTGCAGAGCATATCTCCAATACTAAATAAGATAAGCCTGTTCTAAACTTTTAAGGTATAAGTAATATTTTAAAAATATTATACTTGATTATACTTACCAAAGGAACATTAATTTTTTTATAATTCGTTTTTGAATTTTATTTTTTTATACAGTAGGTTCTCATTAGTCATCCATTTTATACATATTAGCATATACATGTTGATCCCAATCTCCCAATTCATCCCACCACCCCCACCCATCCCCCGCCGCTTTCCCCCCTCGGTGTCCATACGTTTGAGGAACGTTAATTTGTTCCCTTTGTATTAAATATGGATTTAGTCCTTTACCTAAAAAGGAATTAATGTGATCAAAATGATTAACTTCCGAGACTTCCCTGGAGGTCCAGTGGTTAAGACTCCGCACTTCCACTGCAGGGAGCGCAGGTTCTACCCGTGGTTGGGGAACTACAATCCCTCATGCCACGCTGCAAAAAAAAAAAAAGAAAAAAGAAAAAAGAAAGAAAGATTAATTCCAGCCATCACTGTTGATTCATACCTAGTATCCAATCAGTCTCTGAAACTTTTGCTTCTGTCCTCCTCATTGCACGGTTGCCGGAGTCAATGCGTTCAGGTGAATTTGGGGGAAGACCAGTAGGAGGCTCCACAAGAGCTGCAGGAGGTCCTTTCCTCAGGCTGCCCTGGTGTTCCAGAACCTCTGGGTCTGCATAATGGCTCATGGCTGGTAATCGTGTGTAAGGATGATTCCAGGGCAAGGTACACTTAGTCCTTGTACAGTTGACTTATAATTTGCACCTGACTATACTCAGCTGGCAGAAAAACACGGACACAGTGGGTTAATACTTCCACATATTTGGGGGGGGGGAGTCAACCCATAACCCCCTGTTTTAATTTATATTGGGCTGTATTAACTATTTATGTGGGATTGAAGGTCCAAGGGCTTGCATTTTGTAAAACCAATCGTGCCAAAGACTTTATCTTTCATTGAATCATAGCATAGTTTTGGGTAATTTGACTATGGGGGAATTTATGCAAGGCAACAGTTCTGATGTACTTTATTTTGTGTTTGATAACTCTCTCCTAAAAGTATAATTGGTACCTTTTTAAGATCTAGTGAGAATCTCCAGGTATAACTGTATTCGTGTTCTAAGTCTGATGCTGATTAAGGCTATGAAGCTTTGCCAGTTGGTGCATATCAACAGATGCTGAAGTTAATTCAGAACCTCTCTTGTAGAAGTACAAAAGCCAGTTAGCATAATTTAATCTTTTGTTGCATAAATTCTTTTAGTAAATTTTGGATTTCCAATTGGGTAAAACTATGAACCTCTATTTTAGTTTTTTGTCCCCCTCACCATCCAGTGTTTTGCTTTTTGAGTAGTTACTGGATACTTCCAGGGTCCTCTCTGTTCTGCTTAACCCCAAATTTGGTTTAGATATCAAGACAGGTTACGCCTTACATGCATTAAAGCACTAGTAACAGGATCAGTACTCACATATTGAGGCTTTCTTGGGAGACCAGGGCAGCCTCCCCAAGTAGGTCTGAAAATGGCTTGAGTGAACAGGGAAAGGAAAGTGACTTTGGGTGTTTAGTATGCTTAGGAGATGGAGCTGCGGTGAGGGATTTTGCTTTCACTGGGTGGGGCTGGCATGGTTTGAACTTCTGGCTTGCATCAAAGGAGGGAATATATGTACCACATCTTTAAAATGATGTGGTCCATATATACAATGGAATATTACTCAGCCATTATAAAGAGTGAAATAATGCCATCTGCAGCAATATCGATGGACCTAGAGATTGTCACACTGAGTGAAGTAAGTCGGACAGAGAAAGACAAATATCGTATGATATCACTTATATGTTGAATATTTTAAAAAGTGGTACAAATGAACTTACTTACAAAACAAAAACAGACTGATAGACTTAGAGAACTGAACTTATGGTTACCAGGGGGAAATCGTGGGGGGAGGGATTGGCTGGGAGTTTGGGATGTACACACTGCTATATTTAAAATAGATAACCAACAAGGACCTGCTGTATAGCACAGGAAACTCTGCTCAATATTATGTTTCTAAGTGGGAAAAGAATTTGAAAAAAAGTTGTAATAAGAGGGAGAAATTGGGAAATGTATTCCACAATGAATGCATAATCCATGTACACAAAATGCTAAATAAAAACTAAGAAAAAACAGAGACATATAAAAAAAGGAGGGAGTACTCAGGCTCTCTTATCAGCTTGCCCACATGTAGGGGAGAAGGGGAAGGGGTAGTAGTAGGGCTTAAAATCTCTCAGCAAACATTAAAACCGAAGTAAAACACGTTACTACAGACGTTTCCTTGACAAACTCTGGGGTAGGAGCAATTATGACCTTCACTTTACAGATGAAGAAATGTGGCTTAGATAAATCATATTCTCACGGTGATGGGACTTGAGCACACATTTATTTTATGTCAGTCAGTGCTTGTGTCTTTAACTGATGTAAGGTAAAGTGGGGAACATTTGCACTAACAACAAGTTGATTTCCAAAGCAAGTGAGCAGAGTGTTCTTATTATGTCTGGATTCCTGTAAATTAATGAAAAATGTTGCACCAGTTATGTACAGTGTACAATTATCCTTTAAATTTCAGGATGTTACTGCTGGTATATGAATCCTTATTCCAGTTGGACATGAAGTTCACCTTTACATCAGTGCCTCGTACTGCATTAATGAAAATGTTCTGGCCTGAGGACACACATGTCCCTCTCTGCCACCAGCAATGCTGTAGACAGAGGCTGTAGGTTGGTGTGTCTGTAGGCTATGGAACTTCACAGTCTTGTGCCTGACTTGGGGCAATGACTCCCTGAGCACCATTAGTATCACCAGCAGCAGTGCTTCTGGCCTAGATGCCCATACTGGCACCTATCCTGGTCACAGGCAGACCTCGGGATCCCCAGCGCCAGCGAGAACTGGAATTGAGGTCATGCATGGCTGCAAGAGTAGTTGTCCTAGCTCTCTGGGAATATGGCACATGCCGAGTTATTCCAGCAATGCTTCTCAATAGCAGATGCTAGCAGAACTTTCAGGGATACAGATGGAATGTTCTCTCCTGAGAGAATACAAGTAATTTCATAGCCAAGGACCTGACCATCAGCGTGATGTGGAGACCAGCTCAAGACTCGGGAGCCCCAGCCCTTCTGATACTGCAAGGAGCATGAGCTTTGCCTCACTCCAAGACCTCTTCTTTGGAAATGGGCTGGAGAGGAGGGGAACAGTGCCACTGGGGAGATGAACTTTGAAGGGATTGAATATACAGTAGATCCAACCAAGACTGAGCCAAATCAAAGAGGTTGGCTGAGATGAGCACAGTGATGAATGCTAAGGTCATCTGAGCACTCCCTGCATGCCAGACACTGTTCTGAGCACTTTCGTAGTATCATCTCATTCAATCCTCACAAACTCTTAAGGAAGGAAGTGTTGTCCTCTCCGTTTTACAGAGGAGGAACTTGTGGATCAGAGAGTTTAAGGGACTTGCCCGAGATCCCACAGAACCGGGATTGGAAATTAAACAGTCTGTCTCCTGAGCTTGTACTCCTAACACTTCTGTGTGCAGCATCGTTTTCCTAATGTGGACAAATGGTACTCACATAACTATTACCGAGCAGGGCTGGAGTTTATCAAGCCAATTCATTTTGTGATGGCAGATAAAGATGCTACGTTAGCTAGATGTATCTGAGTGTTTTATCCCAGGAGTTGTTCTGATAAGCCACATTTCTCACAGCAGTAACAATTGGTCTGGAAGAGAGAGCAAAAAAGGGGAGAAAAATTCTTTTGCCCCTTCTTCCACTACCTTTCTCTAAGTCCCAGGACCTGATTCATTAGGCACCAGGAGGAGTCATGGTGACGCACAATGGCTCAGAACACTGTGGCCACATGCAATGGCAAGATCTGACAGTGGCTGCCACCACCTGAGTTACTCCATGTTCAGGGCTGAATACACTGAATTAGAGGTGCTGGAAGGCAGGGCAGACATTACCTATGTTTGGGTACCACCTGTGTATCTGTTGCCTGGACACTCAGCTCTCTTCTCTCAGGCTTTTCCTTGACTTGAGCAAAATCTCTCCATTAAAACTTCTCCCATGGGAGGAATTACAAAAAGTGTCCTAACAGTGTTCATTGCATTTCAACAGGTCCACTGGGTAATGTCAGCGATTGTGGTCTCAAGATCCAATTACCCCGTGAAAGCTGCAAGGCAATTCAGTCCCAGGTAGGATTCTCTACACTTCCTTGATCTCTGGATCCAGCCTTGGCAATGACTCTCAAATGACTGCTTTTTGTTAAACACCAATTCACATAAATGGGGTGTTTAATTGTAGAAAATATGGTTGTGAGCGGTCAGACTTCTCACGCCATATTACCTTGTGAGTGTCCGATATAGAACAAGTATATAGTTAACATTAAAGTGTGTGACCCATGTGGATATTGTCTAGAAGTAGGACATGGATTTTTACAGGATGTTTTTACTAACAGTGAGGACAGGGCTTTGTGTTTCTTACAGTGCTGCTGTTTAAGGAACTAAAATGACTATTATGATGAAATGTGCCTTGCCCCCATATTGGCTGTCCTACTCAGTCTCACATAACAACTGAGGAAATTGAGACACGTATGTGGAAGAGGGATCCAGGTCACACACCCCCTTCCTAGAGTGCAGGGAAGGCTCAGTCATCCAGGTTTCTTCTCACCCATGTAGAACCATGTAAAGGCACTAAGATACTGTTTTCAGTGTTCAAAACAAATAGAAGGAGGGGAATTGTTTCTTTGTCTTCCACAAGGATCAAGAGGAGGCAAACTGAAGGGGTGGAAGGCGGGGGCTCTGAAGCCAAACAAATTGGGTTTACACCCTGGTTCTGCTACACACTAGCTATGTGACCTTTGGCCAATTACATGCCTTTCCCATACCCCAGTGCCCTGCTCTGGGTAAATGGGCATGACAGTGGCACTCACCAAACCTGTTAAGACATGAAATGAGCCAGTGTATGTTAAGCCCTTTGGAGAAGTGCCTGGCAGGCAGACTCCCTGAGCAGACGTCTGCTGCTGCTGCTGTTGCTATTCTTATCATGAGTGTATTCCTGGTAAAATGGGGAGGACAAGGAAGCCTAAGAGACTGGAGAATGGGTGTCATCACCTCCACTTTCCCTCCTGAATGAGAACCTCTTAAAGCCACAGACAGGTAGAGAGTCTTCCCTGGCTAAGTCTGTGCTCTTGCCTTCAACTCCAGTTATAGGTTGGTTGACTGTTTGTTTGGGGGTTTTGATGTCATTCTTCTGAGCCCCTTCCCATGGAGAAAACAGGCTGAATCTGCGTCAGTCTGCCTTGGTGTTTGCACCTGTCTGCGTCTCAAATGTATGCTTCTGAGGAATCTTGTTTTATTTAAATAATTTTACAGAATTGACTTACATTTTTACATTCCTATAGAAAATACAAGTAAGAATTACATTTATAGAGATCAACTAATAATCCATCTTCCCACTCCTTTCTTATATTCCCCCATCTTACACACCTACACCAGAAGAACTGCCAGTAGCAGTTTGCTGTAGAATTTTCAGATCCTATTCTTTGCATTTACTTTTATTGATATAGATGACTCTGAAGAAAGACAAATGGGATGATAAGACACATTGTTTTTCGAGTTTCTTTCTTCAACTACCATTTCTTGGAGATCTTTCCAGGTCAGTACGTAGAGGACCCCTTTATCATTTTCAATAGCTGTAATTTATATCATATTATTGATATACTGTAATTTATTTACATAGGAAATTGAAAAAATTGCCTTTGTCTTCTTAAGTGAGTGTCTCTTTAGAATAACAAGTCATTCAACCAGATATTTTGCAAAACAGTAAGATTGGATACAAGTTAAACACAGAAGATATTATATACTTGAAGAATAAAATATGAAATAACAGACATGATATGTCCATTTCACACTGGCCACAAAACACATGTGAATATCATTTTTTAAACTAGAGGGAAATATGCTTGAAATGTTTTTATGTTTCCTGTTTTGAGACTAAAAATACCATTTCTTGCAGGATAGGAAAACTAATTATTGTCATCCTATCAATTCTTCCCAAAATACATCTATGAATTCAGTGCAAACATAGTCATGAACCTCAACAGGATCTTGCCATGAAATGAGCCGACTGAAGAGACTCTATGTGGAAACAGCCATGATGGTGAGCTGTTTCAAATACGAAAATCTACATTATAGATTTAGCAATTAAAACAGGAATCAAAAATTTGTCCATGGAACAGAACAGAGATTCTCGACACAGACCCATGTATATGACAGAATGAAAGAAATGATAAGGTTGACATTTCAAATCAGACTATGCCCCAAAGCAAGGTCTTATGACCACTGCTGGAAACAAGTGTGTGTGGTGGGGAGGTGGCCGGGGGGCGGGGCAAGAGGCCCCAGGGTCCACTGGATTAAGTGGGTTTCATCATCTCTTTCAGGCCACCTCAGTCGGTCGTGCTCTCTTCCTGAAGCCATCTGTGGCGTCAACCAGTCATGGATAAAGGAGCCTCTGAAGTCAGTTCCAGGACGCCCTACCCATCGTCAGAAGGATGGCAGATGAATACCTAAAACCCTCCCTGGCCTCCAAAAACATAATGAGTTTTTTACTCGGTAAGCAACTGGGGAGGCACAGAAATGATGTGAATTTGTCCAAATGGCTGTGGATGCTGACACGAGCTGCACCAGGATGGAGCTGGCCATTGCCAAAAAGTTGTATAACCTACCTGCTTATGCCTATCTGTAATTTTGGAAAATGAAAAAAAAATGTAGAGGACTTCCCTGGTGGTGCAGTGGTTGAGAATCCACCTGCCAATGCAGGGGACACGGGTTCGAGCCCTGGTCCAGGAAGATCCCACATACTGTGGAGCAGCTAAGCCCGTGCACCACAACTACTGAGCCTGAGCTCTAGAGCCCACGAGGCACAACTACTGAGCATGCATGCCACAACTACTGAAGCCCGTGCACCTAGAGCCCGTGCTCCACAATAAGAGAAGCCACTGCAATGAGAAGCCTGCGCACCGCAACGAAGAGTAGCCCCCGCTCGCTGCAACTAGAGAAAGCCCGTGTGCAGCAACGAAGATCCAACACAGCCATAAATAATAATTGTAGAATAACAAACTCTTCCCTTGTTTCACCTGTTAAAATAAAAGGTACCTGTCACTCCTTTTCATTTGATATGTTGTTATGTCGATACAGTTTTCCTGGGTTACACTGGAGAGGGGATTCTATTCCTCCTAACAGTCTATGCAGGGGCTCTCAGACACAGCGGAGATGGTGAGATCACACTGCATGTCAGATTTCTTCCATCTTTAATCTGAAAAAAAAAATGGAATAGTTATGTAGTTCTAGGTCACTCAAGGAAGACATCCACTGCAAAGCAAGCACACTGCTTCTCTGCTGGCCCTGAAACTGCCCTCTCCGCCCCCCAAGAGACACTCTACTGCTGGGAGGCACCGGCCACAAAGAGCCCAGGCCCAGGAAACATTCCCCATTGCCCACTGGCGGGGGCTCCTGCCTCCAGAAGCATCCCTTTCTCGGAGGCAGCAGGTGGAATCCCTTCCCCCGCCTAGAATCCCAAGGTGGCCCGGCCTGGGGAAGCTCCTTCCATTTCCCCAGGCAGCATCCCCAGCAGCCTGCGGTAAACCAAGCAAACCAAAACAGCACCGCAGAGGCTTGGAAATTCATGCTGTCCTCCCAAGCGCAGCCCACGGCAGGAGGCCAGGGCCTGCTCGCCAAACCTCAACAGGGGACTGCAAGCTACAGCAGCGGTCCCCAACCTTCTTGGCTCCAGGGTCCGGTTTCCATGGAAGACAATTTTCCCACGGACGGGGGAGCGGGGGTGGTCCAGGCGGTAATGGGAGCCGTGGGAAGCCGCAGACAAAGCTTCGCTCCCTCGCCCGCCCCTCACCTCCTGCTGTGCGGCCCGGTTCCTAACAGGCCTCCGACCAGGATCGGTCCTCGGCCTGGGGTTTGGGGACCCCTGTGCTACAGTATCCAGCTCCAACAGACCCCAGTGTCTCCTGACACGACACCAAAATGTCCAGGACACAATGGAAGATCATCCTTCATACAAAGAACCAGGAAATTCACAACCTGAATGAGAAAAGACGATCAAGTGACACTAACTCCAAAGTGAATTAGGTGTCAGAATGATCTGACCATGATTGTAAAGCATCGATCATAAAAATAATTCAGCAAACAATTAAATGTTCACACGGGCTTACTTCTAATAGCCAAAAGCTGGAAACCACCCCCAGGTCCTTCAGTGGGTGACTGGTTCAACAAACTGTGGTACATCCATACCATGGGATGCTACCCAGCAATAAAAAGGAACAAATAATTGTTACACAGAAGGATGTGGATAAATCTCCAGTGAATTATGCTGAGTGGGACAAAAAAAGCCAATCTCAAAAGGTTACAGACTATATGATTCCATTTATAAAACATTCTTGAAATGACAAACTTCTAGAAAAGGAGAACAGATTCGTGGTTGCCAGGGGTGAGGGGTCTGGGAATGGGCAGGAGAGGGGTGGATGGGAAGGACAAGATGTGGGTGCGTCTACAAAGGGGCAGCAGGAGGGCCCCTTGCAGTGATGAACTGTTCTGTATCCAGACTGTATTCATGTCAATATCCTGGTTGTGCCTTGTGCTGTAGTTTTGCAAGATGTTACCTACCACTGGGGAAAGGAGGGAGAGGGGAGAGGAGACCTCTCTATTTCTTTCAACTGCCTGCCACTCTACAATAATGTCAAGATTAAAAGTTTAATTTAAAAGAGGGACTCTACTAAGAGATATTCCCCAGCCCCCTTCCAGAAAAACCCCAAACCACCATTTCTGAGGTCTTTCTCTCTGCACTGAGGAACCTTGACTTCAGAAACTCTTTCTTGTTAGCATCCATGCTCCACCCTCTCGGTGTCAGTGAGGCCATTCCACAGCCCTGACTGCTGACCCTAATATACAGCTGAAAGATTTGGCCACGCGGCTTGTGGGATTTTGGTTCCCTGACCAGGGATCGAACCCGGGCTCTCGGCAGTGAGAGCGCAGAGTCCTAACCACTGGACTGCCAGGGAACTCGACGGCTAAGAGTTTTGTTTGTTTGTCAGGGCGGGGGTCTTGCTCTGTTGCCCAGGCTGGAGGGCAGTGGCTAGTCACAGGCGCCATGTGGCTACTGATCAGCAGGGCAGTTTTGACCTCCATTTCAGACCTGGGCCTGTTCACCCCTCCAGAGGAAAGCTGGTGGTCCCCCGCTTCCGGGAGGTTCCCAGATTGAAGCTGAACTTAGTGCAGACACGCGATCACAGAGCGCCCTACAGCCCGGAAGTCCAGGGCTCAAGCGGTTCTCCCGACTCAACCACCGGAGTAGCTGGGACCACCGGCGTGTGCCGCCGCACCCGGCCAGCTTACAGTTTTAAGCACTGACTACGTGCCAGCAGTGTGATCAAAATGTACGCGCTGCTCTCCCTTTAATCCTCAAAACAATACCAGAAGCCATTTTACCAAAGGGGAAACTGAGGCGCAAAGAGGAAAGTAACTTGTCCCAAGCCACGGAGCCAGTGGGCAGAGCCAAGATTCGAACCCCTGTGATCCAAGCTGACACTGGCTATTGCAGCAGTGACCTGCCTCCCTGTGGAAACAGGCCCTCTTCACTGTTCCCTCTGTGCGCTTGGGGGGAAATCTGGAGGATGGAAGTTCCAGACTAAACTACAAAGTCACTTGCCCGTGTAGGTCTACTCAGGGCAATCAAGAGACTCCGGGTGGGGAAGTACGACACCGTGATGTCCCAGTCGCGGCCACCAAACCGCACACAAAACATCTCTGTCGCACTCACTCACCTATTCCCTCCCCTCCGTCTCGCAACCTCTGTCTGCATGTATTTTAAAAGACTCACAGCTTCTTGGCAAGCTGTGCGGGTGCAGCTTCTGCACGCTGTTGTGGATCTCCTGGGACAGGATAGTCGGCAGCTGCTCCAACACCAGCAGCGCCAGGACCTGCTTCATGGTGCGCATCTCAAGCCAAAGCCACCCAGCCGTGGCAAAGCTCCAGAAGCCGCCTGAGGGTTTCTGGGGGACCAGCGGCAGAACACATAGAAGCGCAGATGACACGCTTCCAAGCTGGGCCTCGCATGGCTCCAGGCGCAGAAACTACTCTGCTATCACAATGAGGACTACTTTTTGCTCCTGGGAGTTGGGGTCAAACGCAGACCATCTAGGTCCGGAAACCAGCTGCGACAGCTGGCGAAGGCGCCTGGCGCCTCAGCCAACAATACACGGAATCGGCAGGAGTCGGCGTACCCCTGGGGCCACCCAGTCCATGAGCCCAACTCCAGCCCAGGCGGAGCAGATTCAAGTGCCTTGGCCTCTGTAGGCTCGCGACAGCGGGGCACCTGCCCCAGGTCTCGCTTCCACCAGAGCCTCTGGGAGGCACAATCGCAGGCGGCTCTTTCTTCTCTGTCTTGGACCAACACTAAACTTTGGCGTCCAGAGACACACACACTCACAAACTAGCTCGGGACGAATGTGAGGACTACATCTCCAGAATGACATCATCGCCTCTGGCCTGGCCACAACTCACGGCTGACCACCCAGAAGGGAAAATTTGACTCCAGGGGCGGGACCTGCGGACGACCAATTGGAAGACAAGAGGAGGGGCCATATGGGCTAACCTAAAGACCCAAGAGCCCTCTGGTGGCGGCCGAAAGCAGAGAGGAATGCACGGGGTAGTTTCGTCGAAGCTCGGTTCTTTACGAGAAGAAAATACAAAGGTACCTAGGCCACTGTGACCCGGGAGCGGAAGATCAGAGTCATTATCCCCAGAAAAGTTTATTGAAATGCAAATTCTCGAGTTCATGCGAGATCCAATGAGTATGGGTGTCGGGGTAGAGCGCAGAAATCTGAATTTTTAAGATTCTCGCAAAAAAATTCTTCCTAAAGAGAGAGGTTTGAGAATCACTGATACAGTCATAACAGATTTAAGGATGTCCCCAGTCGCTCCGGTTACTCTAGGGCTGACGGGAGAGAAGCCCTCACTAGGATCTAGAACTGGAGCACGCCCCACCCAGTCCCCGGGAATCTAGAGTCGCTTAAGACCGGAAATGGGATCGCTTCCAAAAGCGGCCTCAGGCCGAGGGGAGACCAAGGAAACTCCCAGCCTCTCCCGCGTCAGCATCCTTAGGGGCCGAGATCTTTAGGCGAGTGGCGTGTAGCCTGCCGGGGGTTGTAGTCCGCAGCCTGGCCGCGCGCCTGCGCCCTGGGCAGCTGCCCCCCGTGAGCCTGGGAGAGCCGTGGGCGCTGAGGCGGTGAGTCCCGGAGCGGTCAGAGGGCGTGGCCGTCCCTGGGGCGCGGGCGCGGGGAGCGGGGCTCCCTTCCCGCTCGGGCTGCGCTAACCGGCCGCTTCCAGCCCCGGTCCGGGTGCGGGCACGGGAAGGAGCGACGGGCGGCGGGCCCCTGTCCGGCCCGGATCCCCGCCGCCGCTCCCTGCGACCCGGCCGGGCCTTCCCGGGCTTCTCCTGGGCGGGGAGCGCCCCTCCGGGCTGCGGGACATCCTCCCCGGGGAGCACGCTCGGGGCGCGCCGCGGCCCCCCGATTTTAAGCCGGTTTTTAGGCTTGTCCCCCTATCCTTTCCCCGAGTGCCCTCTCTTTACACCCTTCTTCATCCACGGGCCCTGTGGGCCGGCTTCATTCAGGAGGCTTTGAGGAGAAGCCATCAGCCCCGGGGTGGAGTGAAGTTTTCATCCGGAAGGGCCGACAGGGAGAAAGGCGGAGGGTCAAGTCCCTGGTCGGCGTGGTGGAAGGTTGGGGACCGTCCGCGGAGGGCTGCCCAGCTGTGAGGCTGGAGCGCATTCAAGGCGGGTCCATAGCCCAAACCAGCACGGTCCCTGGATGCCCTCCAGCGACGGTTAGGTGCCTTGGCGGGGTGGGGTGGGAGGAAATAGAAGCTTCCTAGGAAATGAGCTTTCCTGAGCGCTTCCTCTGTGCCAGGCACACTGCTGTTCCTTTCCCTGCGCTGGGATCCGCCTCAGGAACTTCTATGAAAGAGATGCCGTGATTATCTCGTGTTAGCGACAGAAGCCCTGGGCGTCAGGGACTCAGAGCTAGCATGTTATCACGAGATGGGTCTGCCGCTGAAGCCCAGGCTGCCATCAAGATAACGGTGCTATGGGGGCAGTGCCCATCTGGCATGACTGGGTGAGATCATGAGCATATTTTTCCTTGTCCCACCACCCCAAGGAAGAGGACAGGTACATGAGGCGTCCTGGCAAATGCAGACAGAGTGCAGCCACAGCACACGGGGCGGTGGGGGGAGTGGGCACCGGTGCTGAGACCTGTGGGGACATGTACGTGACGGCCTCTGTGACCTCAGAGGCTGCACTCAGAGAATATGTGGATGTTTGGGACGTGAGCAGTGCGGGAGTCTGTAGATTCCAACCTCCTCCCCACTTCCCTCTGACGTTTACTGTGTGACTTGGGACAAAGTTATTCCGTCCTCCTCAGGTTCACCTCAGTCCCCTCATCTGTATTCAGGGCACAGTACTAGAGCCCACCTCCTAACGTTGGGTGAGGGCTAAATGAACCGATGCGTGTGGGAGGCTTAGAACAGTAGCTGGCACAAGGCGTGATGAATGTGACAGATGTTCTTGGTTATTAATGTAGAACTGATTCCTGCTGGCCTGCCCTGTTGCCATGTGTTTTGCTCATGAGAAAGTCACTTAGAATGCTGTTTCAGGATGAGGGTCACGGTGATGTTGCCTGAACTATGCATAACCTCCAGTGGAGAGGAATTAGGGACTGATTGGTGGTTTGCTGTCTTTGCAAGGCATGGCCCTAGCCAAGATGCCCATGGTTGAAGGTGACTAAGGGTTACTCAAAAGTAGATGGACTTTCATGGTTCTTCACCATTGTAAGTATTGCTCCTCCATTTCTTCTGTGGCCTAGCTATATTCAGAAACACAAGACATTTGAAATTAGGCTGGGACTGGGTTTAAAGGCCACTAAATCTGTAGGGGTTCACTGGGTCCATGGAATTCTAGAGCAGAGCTGTCCAATAGAACTTTCTGCAAAGATGTCTCTTTTTTAAAATTTTTATTGGGGTATAGTCGATTAACCATGTTGTGTTAGTTTCATGTGTACAGCAAAGTGAATCTGTTATACATATACGTATATCCACTCTTTCTTTAGATTCTTTTCCCACATAGACCATTACAGAGTACTGAGTGGAGTCCTCTGTGCTATACAGTAGGTCCTTAATAGTTATCTATTTTATATATAGTAGTGTGTATGTGTCAATCCCAATCTTCCAGTTTATCCCTCCCCCACCCCTTACCCCCCGGTAACCATAAGTTTATTTTCTACATCTGTAACTGTATTTCTGTTTTGTCCATAAGTTCATTTGTAGCCTTTTTTTAGATTCCACATATAAGCGATATCATATATTTGTCTTTGTCTGACTTACTTCACTAAGTATGACAACCTCTAGGTTCATCAATGTTGCTGCAAATGGCATTATTTCATCCTTTTTTATAGCTGAGTAATATTCCATTGTATATATGTACCACACAAAGATGTCTCTTGAGCACTTGAAATGTGGCTAGTATGAATGAGAAATTGAATTTTTAGTTTTAATTAATTTAAACTTCCACATGGGACTATTTTATTTTTACTGAGTTAATTTACAATGTTGTAGTTAATTTACAATGTTGTATTAGTTTCAGATATACAGCAAAGTGGTTCAGATATATATGTATTGGGTCAGCCAAAAAGTTTGTTCGGTTTTAAGTGAAAATAAAGGACACATTTTTCATTTTCACGAGAAACCTTATGGAACAATGTATTCACTAACCAAACGAACTTTTTGGCCAACCCAATATGTACATATATGTGTGTGTGTGTGTGTATATATATATGTTCTTTTTCAGATTCTTTTTCCATTATAGGTTATTATAAGATATTGAGTATAGTTCCCTGTGCTGTACAGTAGGTCCTTGTTGTCTACTTATTTTATATATAGTAGTGTGTATCTGTTAATCCCAAACTCCTAATTTATCTCTCCCCCGACCCACACGGGACTATCGAATACCATATTGGATAGCACAGTTCTAGAGAATCCGTGGATGGTCTTGAAGATTTTGTAAACTTTTTGAAATTGAATTTGCTGTGTAGTGTATCTTTCTAGAAATTGTCCATGACTTTCATCAGATTCTCAAAACCCCCCAAAAGATTATGATCTGCTTCTTTAGGGCTTTGGAGAAAAGTAAGCAAGTTAAGGGAGGTTAGTCTACCCTCTGGTAACCACTGCTGTTTCTCCTTCCTCATTTTGTCCCGTCCTCAGCTTGTAGGTGGCTCTGCCCGGAGGATAACACAAAGAAAGAAATTGGAATCTGCCGCTTCGGGACCCAGATAAATTGTACAGTGCTGGAAGTTGGCGATGGCTGTGGCCCTGGGTTGTGCAATCCAGGCCTCCTTGAATCAGGGCTCGGTGTTTCAAGAGTATGATACCGACTGTGAGGTCTTCCGCCAGCGCTTCCGGCAGTTCCAGTACAAAGAAGCATCTGGGCCTCATGAAGCTTTCAACAAACTCTGGGAGCTCTGCTGTCAATGGCTGAAGCCAAAGATGCGTTCTAAGGAGCAAATCTTGGAGCTGCTGGTGTTGGAGCAATTCCTAACGATTCTGCCCACAGAGATAGAGACCTGGGTGAGGGAACATTGCCCGGAGAACAGAGAAAGAGTTGTGTCACTGATAGAAGACTTACAGAGAGAACTTGAGATACCAGAGCAGCAGGTGAGAAAAGAGGTTGGGATCTTGGGAATTAGACCAAAAGAAGTAGCAGAGGCAGCTGGGACCGGATCAGACGTTCTGTCTGGTGCCTCAGGATTTCCCTGCAGGGCTTTCCATTTTTTCCTTCTGCTGGAATTTGCATATGTTTCAGTGATTCTCAACTATTAAACCCAACTCCACTTCTATAACAGATACTTGGTAATGTCCCCTTTACTGTGCTAAAATGAAATTTATAGATAATATAACCTCCTTATATACACCGAATTAGAAAAAAAATCAATATAATAAGTGCTCTATGGGCCAAATATTGGACAAAGCCTGTTTTTATACAACCCATGAGCTAGTAATGGTTATTACCTTTTTGAAGAGTGGTTTAAAAAAAAAGAAGAGGCAACAGACCAATACAACCCACAAAGCCTAGAATATTTACTGTCTGTCTCTTTACAAGAAAATTTTGCCAACCCTGAGTCAAGTAGAGTCTAGAAGGAATATAAAGGAAAAGGAATGTGATTTCTTATGAATTAATAAGCATGTGAGCGTGCACATATTTGGGCTTGACTGCACCAAAACTTCAGGAGGTTGTCATTTGCTTGAATCTATGCACAGATACATTGGGAAGGCGACAGGCAGAACTTCTGACTGATGTGATACAGCTCAAACACTGTGAGCGGTGTTGCTGTTGGTCATATGATTTCTCAAAGTGGCAAACAACTCTTGGTCAGTCCAAACAATAAGTAGTATAGTCTTCATTTGATTTCCAAAGTAATGCTTTCCTAGAGCATTCAAGTCATGCTAAAATATGCAAAAATATTTTGTGTTTATATGACCAACAGGGTGAGGTCCTTGAAAGGTTCTTTTTACGTACATGAATGTTTGAGGGAACATTCCTAAATTGTTTGGGAGGTGGAACAATTCTGCCCTGTGAATTATTGGGTTGGCCAAAGAGTTTGTTCTGGTTTTTCCATAAGACGTTACAGCAAAACCCGAACGAACATTTTGGCCAGCCGAGTACATAGACTCCCACCTCTGGCTCGTTACATTCTGATAGCCACCACCTGCCATCATAGGCAAAATGCCCCATGGGGGCGGTGGCGCTGGCCTCTGTTCAGAACCATCCAGTGAAAGCCATAGCTGAGCACGGACAGAATCTTTGGGAGAAGAAAGTGTTTGTTGGTGGGCATTAGGGGCACTTCTGCCTGGTGTGTTGATGGGGTCAACTCTCCTTGGAGTCATCCAAGGGTCCCTGTCCCCCTAGGATAGAATGAATTTATGGTTTCCCTTCCTTTCTCCATCTTCTCGGTTTAGCTTACTTTGTATGGTCTAGTCGCGCACCACCCAGAACAGCCACTAGCCAGGGGTGGCTCTGGGGCACTTGCAATGTGGCTAGTCCAAATCGCGATGTGCTGTAAGTATAACATGCACAGCACATTCCAAGAACTTAGTATGAAACAAAAGTCGGTGTAATATCTCGTAACAATTGTTTATATTGATTACATTCTGAAATTATGATATTTTAGATATTTTTGGGTTAAATACTGTGTGTTATTAAGATCAACTTTACCTATTTCATTTTTTGTTTCATATGGCTGCTGGTACATTTAAAAGGACATGGGTGGCTTGCATTATATTGCTACTGGGCAGGGCTGGTCTGGACTTCAGTGACGGTTCTGGCATTTCCCCCAGCTCGATAGACAGGAAATGCTCTTGGAAGAACTGGCACCAGTGGGAATGGCACACATACCGCCAAACATCCACCTGGAGTCACCCCCACTCCAAGTAATGGGACCTGCCCCGGAGGTCCCAGTGGCAGAGGCGTGGATCCCACAGGCAGGGCCGCAGGAGCTGAGCTTCGGTGCTGCTGGGGAAGGCCAGCCCTTTCTGGACCCTGGTAAGGCAAGGGTTTTATTTCCTTTCTTTGGTTTCCATTTTGAGAGCTCAAGAGCTCTCCAGGGTTGAGGTTGCTTAGAATACCGATAACCTGATGGAAACAGGCCACTCTGATCAAGAGTAGAAGGAGGAGGGACTTCCCTGGCGGTCCAGTGGTTAAGACTTTGCCTTCCAAATGCAGGGAGTGTGGGTTTGATCCCTGGTCAGGGAGGTAAGATCCAAATGCAGGGAGTGTGGGTTTGATCCCTGGTCAGGGAGGTAAGATCCAAATGCAGGGAGTGTGGGTTCGATCCCTGGTCAGGGAGCTAAGATCCCACCGGCCCCGTGGACAAAAAAACCAAAACATAAAACAGAAGCAACATTGTAACAAATTCAGTAAAGACTTTAAAAATGGTCCACATCAAAAAAATCAAAAAATAAAAAAAGAGCAGAAGGAGGAAATATCTCTCTGGGGATAGCTGGGCACAAAGCACCTTCAATCGAATGGGATTGAAAACCCCTTAAGCTAATGACCCTGCTCAGGAAGCCTATTTTTCTCTTTTCAATTTTTTTTATTGTGGTAAAATACCCACGACCTAAGGTTTGCCACCTTAACCATTTTTATGTGTACAGTTCAGTGGCATTGAATACATTTATAATTTTGTGGAGCCATTACCAGTATCCATCTCCATAACTATTTTCATCTTGTAAAACTGAAACTCTAGACCCATTTAAACAATAACTCCCCATTTTTACATTCCACCACCGCCCCCCACCCCCGGCAACCACCATTCACCTTTCTGGCTTATTTTACTTAGCATAATGTCCTCAGGGTTCAGAATTTCCATCCTTTTAATGGCTGAATAATAATCCTTTGTATGTATATATCACATTTAGCTTATCCATTTTCCATAAACGTATACTTGGGCTGCTTCTACATCTTAGCTATTGTGAATAATGCTTCTGTGAACATGGATGTAAAAATATCTGTTTGAGACCCTGCTTTTACTTCTTTTGGGTATATAACCAGAAGTGAAATTGCTGGATCATACGGCATTTCTAGTTTTAATTAATTTTTTAAGGTACTTCCATTCTGTTTTCCACAGCGACTGTACCATTTTATGTTCCCACCAACTGTGCACAAGGTTTCCAGTTTCTCCACATCTTCACCAACACCTGTTTTTTTTTTGATAGTAGCATTCCTAATGGGTGTGAGGTGGTATCTCACTGTAGTTTTGATTTGCATTTTCCAAATGATTAGTGATGTTGAGCATCTTTTCATGTGCTTATTGACCATTTGTAAATCTTCCTTGGAGAATGTCTAATCAGGTCCTTTGCACATTTTTGATTTTTTTTTTTTGGTGTTGTTGAATTTTAGAGTTCTCTATATATGCTGGATATCCATCCTTTATCAGGTGTATGATTTGCAAATATTTTCCTCATTCAGTGGGTTGCCACCCTGGGGTCTCTAGTACACAAGACAGAAAATCAGTCCCAGGCACCTTGGAGCTTCAGCTCCTATGGATGATTCAGATATGAAAATAGGACTGTAAAATGATGTATTGGAGGGAGTAGGATGCTCATAGGATTGCCACCTAACCAGCTTTTTGGCAGAGAGGGAAGGCATCCCTGAGGAAGGGGGATCTGGGTAGACACCTACAAGATGAATTGCAGTAAGCCTGCTGAGTGGTGGAAGTGGGGAGGGGAGAGGGCTTTGGACAGAATGGGCAGCCTATGCAAAGGCTCAGAGGGCTAGAGAGCATGGCATATTTGAAGACTTCCTGCTGCAGTTTGAGGGCGCAGAGGAGAAGCAGAGGAGCCAGAGTTGCACTGAAGAGGCTGGAGAGAGAAGCAGGGTCCTGGATCTTGAAGAACTTTGTCAGCCTTGTTGAGAAGATATGCTTTATTACTAGGACAGTGGGGAACCACTGGATGTTCTTAAGTAAGGCAGGGATATACACAGATTTGCATTTAGAAGGTCACTCTGGCTACAATAATAGAGGGAAGACTGGAAACAGCTATCCTGCAATCATCCACCTTAGAGAGCATGATTTTCTGGTCTAAGATTGTGTCGGTGGTGGTAGAGAGAAAAAGACCAATTTGAAAGATAAGTAGGAAATAGAAATTATGGGACTTGGTGATTGACTGGGTGTTGGATGAAGAAGAAAAAGAGGTTAAGGATGGTATCCAGGATTCTGGCCAATGAACTGGGAAGGTTGATAATATTATTCACTGACACAGAGAACAGAAGAGAGGATCAGATTTGGTGGGTCAATGTGAGTTTAGATTTGACCATGTTGACCATGTGGAGTTTGAGGTGTTTGTGGGTCTCTAGATATTTTAAAATAAAGGTGACAAAAAAGAAAAACCGACAACTACATATGTATGTATATTATGGTCAAAGCAGAACTATATAATATTGTCATTTACGTTCCAATCTTTACATTACCTATAGTCTATAGTCTGTTTAAAAGTTCTAAAAAATCTGTAATTTTGTATGTATGCCAGCAATAAGTAGTGAAACTTAGCTAGAAATATTTAATGATAAATGTTTTTGCACATGCACTCTCATTCCCCATGTTAATTTGCTCCTCTTAGCAACAGTCCCAGGTACAAAGATCACAGATGATGCAGAACAGCAATGTTGCTCTTGATTGTAATACTTTACTCTTTAAAGCACGGGAATGTCCAGTGTGTTCAACAAGGAAGAGATAGAATGAGTTAAACGAGTAAAATATACCAATTTGGAGGAGAGGAAACTACCCCTTTTTCATCACTGTTAAAGTGATATATTATGCTTTGCAAAATGATGCAAGACTTATTGTTCTATAATTTAAAGGTTGCTTATACTTTTACTGGTTTTTTTTTAAATGAAAACATCTTCGGTATATTACATGAAGCACATCATATTGTAGGCTGAGTGAGTGAAAAGCACAGGATGCTGGCAGAATAGAAGAAATTTCAAAGTAATGGAAGAGGTCAGTTGATTTTATATTAAAGTTTGGAATGTATTCCCTGTTAGCAAAACATTAAGTTGTTGGGTATATAGAAAATGGAAAAAAATATATGTATATACACACATATATTCACCTAATGATATTCATTTAATGTGAATACAGAGGGGGGTGGGAAGAGAGAATAAGAGAGAGAGGGAAAAGAACTTAAGTAGAAAATATAAAGAGATCTAAGAAATACATAAGCTTTAAAAAATCCCTTATTTAAAAAAAATCCCTTATTTGAATTCAAGCCAGACACGCCAGATGTTAGAGATAGGCAAAAATATTAGAATGTCTGCAATAAGAAAGAAAAGATGTGCTGGTCCTAAAAATATAAAGTATACCATGCTTATCTTTGAAAGTCTGGAGTTCAAAATTAGTACACCAAATTTGGAACAATTTTCATTTGCCAAAGCCTCAGGTTTTTTTAATTTAACCACATGAGCTTACACTAGGAAATTGTATACAAAATGTCAAAGGTCACATCTTTTTGGTGATGCAGGATATGAGAGATGAAAATTTAAAGTAAAAAGTAGGGCAAAAAATGCTGTCCGCAGAGCAACAAAAGAGTCTTGTAACTTAAATTTCTTTATACTAAATGATGTATCATTAGCTAATATCCAGCCCTAACAATAGTAATGATATTTCTTGGTACAGTGGAGACTTTATGACACAATGTTTGATAATGGGGCTTAATGAAGTCATTCCCTGAGCCTGGGATGGGGGGAACATTCATCAATCAAGTACCTTCTTTGTTAACCTCAAGTTGCTTTTTCCCTCTTTGTATTAGATAGCTTTTGCTGAATAACAAATTACCCCCCAAAATTTAGTAGCTTAAAAGAAAAAGCACTTATCACTTCACAGTTTCTGAGAGTCAGGAATTTGGGAGTGGTTGACAGGGTGTTTCTGGCTCAGAGCTGCTCATGTAGTTGCTGTCAAGATGTCAGCAGGGGCTGGCAGGAGACCTCAGTTCCCTGCTAAGCAGTCTTCTCCATAGGCTGCCTGAGTGTCCTCACAACACAGCAGCAGATTTCCCCCAGAGCAAACGAATCAAGAGAAAGCAAGGAGGATGCCACAATGTTTTTGATGAACTAGTCACACACCATCACTTCTACCATATTCTATTCACTAGAAGAAAGTCACTAAATCCAACCCACACTTAAGGGGAAGAAAATTAAACTCCACCACTTGAAGGGAAAAATATCAAAGAATGTGGAGCTATATTTTAAAACAAGTATGCACCTATGCTTCCCTGTCCCTACTAGCCTTTTACTTTATACTTCAGTTTTTTTACGTCAGAAAGTAGTTTTTAAATTGAAGTGTAGTTGATTTACAATATTGTGTTAGTTTCAGGTGTACAACATAGTGATTCAGTATTTTTATAGACTATACTCCATTTAAAGTTATTATAAAATATTGGCTATATTCCCTGTGCTGTGCATTATATCCTTGTATCTTTTTTTTCTTTTTCTGCAGTCAATTTTTCTTGAGTAAATTTCTTTAGTTAATTAGGTCAAATAAAATATACCCATGATGAGTCTCTTGGCTATAACCATGAGGTGAGTTTAACATCCTGGACAACACATTATCATCACTTGGAAACTAAGGTCTAAGGTTCTAGACTATAGTCTAAAAGACAGAAGCAATGGTTAAATTTAAGGTAATAGACTTTGGTTTCTATTTGTAGGACCCTCTTATTTTATACCAACTGAATAGCAATTGATGTTTCTTCTATTGCTGTAAAACCACTCATCCAATGGTAATAGCAGCTACACAGACTAGTCTGCATTGAGGATGAAGAGAAGAGCCCCCTGACAGAAGTAGAAATTAGAGCCTGCTTTCTGACTGCCATTCAACATTGATTCAAAGCCCTGGAGCCAAGCTATAAAATATACAGTGAGCATCCTTGTGTATATGCAGGTGTCAATAGGCTAAATTTCTAGAAGTGGGGTTGATTGGTTAATGGGTATTTAAAACTTTAATAGATATTGTCAAATTGTCCTCCAAAATTGTTGTACCAATTTAT